CTTTTAAATTTTCCGCTATTTACATACATATCTTTAATTGGTCGATATTCAGCCTCTCTAGCTGTCTCTTATACACATCTAGATGTGTATAAGAGACAGCTTTCACGCTGTCGCTGCAGCGTTCTTGCGCTCGTTTATTGTCGTAAACGTTGATAGAGTATTCTTGCTGTTGTTGTGCTTTTTGTTATTTAAGGTAGCAATATTACGAAATGCGACAAAGCTTGGCGAATGCCTGGGGGGCGTTAAGTTTGCGCAGTGCAGCAGAATTTTGCTAAACTTACTGCCATTGTTGTTATTGTTATTGTTGTTGAAGCACTCTAGCGTTTGCGTATGTACATTGTTGACTGTGTGTACGCGGGTGTGTGGTTACGGTTCATCGCAAGTCGACGTTTTGGAATCATAATGATATAACGGCGCCGGTGCTTCGAACAGATCGCAGTAGTCGCTGTGACTCCAGCGAATATATTACGCTCATACGCGGCGAAAGGCCACCGTCAGTTAGGCACTGTAGCGTGCAGCTTGTGTTTGAAAAAAAAAAAATATATATATATATACCTGTCTCTTATACACATCTAGATGTGTATAAGAGACAGAAATTAGTATGCGCGTGTGCCCTACTGGGTCAATACGCCATGGCGGCTTCGGTGGTGCCACACACGCCGATGCAAACAACAAACGCCACTGATCTTGGCGTGGAATTTGTGCCACTGGAGGCATCCACCACCGAGAAGGGGCACAAAGGTGCCGACGCCGCAAAACGACCTGACAAGCGTATTGAAGGTGAGTTGATCTCCGGGAGGCAAGCAATATTAATATGTARGCTACTTAAAGAATGCGGGATTGAGAAATGTGTTCCAATTTCAACTTAACTAGTTGTGAAAATTGCTGGCTTTTGTTCGGTTTTGYTTATTTATAAATTCATTGTTATTTCGAAGCATTGTTTATATGAAAAATGATCGATGGTGACTTTTGAGTTATTTTTGAGGTTTACATAAATTATTGAAGTACATTTAAAAATTGCAAACAAAATTTATTGTTGGTTGTGTAAAAATTATGTGACAATATTTTATATAATAAATAAAAACTTTAATTTATTTTAGTTTTTCCAAATGAAAATAGTACTTTATGTTTAGTTGTAGCGGTTGAAGTGAAATTCATTTCATGAAATTTTCGTAGATATAAATTAATACATCGTCACCCAAAATATAAAATTACGTAACACCACCTTACATAAGTTTAAAGGCGAAGGTAAAACGATATAATARAAACCAGTAATATTGAAAAAAATTTRAGTTTTGRTTATAAAATGGTTATATATTGGTTATTTTTATCTAACAACGATTTTTGGTTTTCTTGATGATACGTTATTTTGCAWTTTAGGTGACTATATGTATGTATTTTTTGCTTCGACTTGCTCTGGAAACTTTTATAGTATCTTTTTCATACTTGTATTTCGAATTCTCGAAGTTTAAGTGTTCAAATACAAATTCCTCGAGCGATAGTCACGTTTTTTGTACCGTCACGAACTTTAGTAATTAAACAATGACAGTTTTTACAGCTGTATACACTAACTTGGTACTACCAGAACACTTTCTCTGAATATTTCTTTATTTCTGTACTATAAATTCCTTGATATATTTTGTAATCTACCATTACCAAAATATTTTTGCTGGTAAAAAATATAAACGAATTTAATTATTATTTACATACAACTTTTAAGCTGTTGATTAGATTATTAACATAATGATTCTCTCTTTCGTTCTGAAACAAATTTTAACCGTTATGGCATCGAATTTACTAAATTTTCAAGTATGCTTATATCGATAGCTGCTCACTTCTCAACAATGGCCTCTTTTAATTTGTTTAAGAGAAGCAAAGAATGCCTTAAAGATGCTCAATGGGATTCAGGTCTGGACTTATAGCTGRCCAATTCAATAACCTTAAAACATGTRTAGGGGCATTATCTTGTTGAAATATCCAGTCTTCGCCTTGAAACATTTCCGCAAATGCATCAAGGAGATCGGTATACATTTGTGAATCAATTCAGCCAGCTACAAGGCAAATTGGAGACTTTCGCAGTGAGGTAAAAGTTCCCCGTACCATGAGAGAGCCACCAGCGTGGTTACGCTTRTGGTAAGTCTGCCGGGGTTGCCTTGGATCTCGCCAATATTTCCAATTTCCGTTTGAGTTATCCAAATTAAACTTTTTCTCATCACTGAGGATTACTTTTTTAAACTAATTTTCTCAAAACTTATATTTTTCGAAAAATSCAGTCGGGTCTTCTTATGCCAGGTAAAAGTTTTGAAGTCCGAACTTTGGCATCATATTTCCGTTTCTCTTGAATTTCGGAAATATTATATATTTCTTTGTCTTCGAAATTTTTGTGGAAATATTAGTGAAGAACATTATCTGGGCTGTTTGTTAGATTATAAATTCCCAAAGCAAACTATATATTATATACAACACGATCGGTTTTTCGAAAATACTGGTTTTTTCTTTTGTTAAGCCCTTGTGAAAGAACATACAGACCGATTAAATAGGTTATAAATTCCAATCTTAGAAATGTTCAATACCTTTTAAATTTTCCGCTATTTACATACATATCTTTTATTGGTCGATATTCAGCCTCTCTAGAATTTATAACGTTTATGAAATTCCAGGGACTTTTGTTATCCGAATTTTTCGCATGATATAGTTTGTGGAACTTTTTAAATTTGTTCTTAAGCATTTTAACTTTAAAATTATTTAAAACTATATTTCCCACCACAACTTAATTTCTCATTGTAGAAAATTCAAATTAAAACGTCTTCTATTAGATTTGGTTTCAACTGGTTTATATGAGTTTTTCTACCGCAAAAGATGAAATACATATTTCCCTATTTTAAAATGTTAGTAACTAATTAAAATTTGTATAATTAGCTTCGAGCCTTCCGCGTAGTTGAGTCGTTAGATCGAACGATTTACGCACTCAATCGAACAAATTGAAAGCGAATACCACAGTCAACTCACTCAAAGCAGTTATTACAGGATTTTATAGAAATAGTTGGCATTCGCGCAGCTTAACTAAGCAGAAATATTTAAAGCTATCAAAATACACTCTCACTTTAATACATACGTACACACACACACACACACACACACACAAATACGCAGTCACATATCACGAGTTAAGGTATGCATAATTGAAATGAAAGCTTATGTACTACGTATGTACATATGTACTAAGTGTGTTATAAGATCTGCTTCACATGTAATGAGTCTAATTAATGAGCTGTTTTGTTACACATTTAAACGATGCCTAGTTTATTGTATGTAAACATGCTTAATCAAGTCAGATAAATGACAAACTTAGAATCTGAATTTAAAATCTCGGAGGAAGCAAGTTTTTATACTTTTCTAGTTGATCCTTATAATATTTCATTTTATTTTAAGTGGTTATACCAATCTAGAGACCGACTAATTTGGACCGAAATTTGTTGCCACATTCTATATACATATGTACAAATTTGTAAAAACAAATAGAGTTTTTGAAATCTATCATACATGAGTTTTTGACATATGGCTACAACTCCCTAAACAAAGTCAGAACAAATGCGTGCGCAGATAATCGTTGAAATCAAACATATTCCTATCAAAACTCATGATTCTAGCTTGATTTATAAGTAATCAAGAAAAAATATTGGCATTTGACAATTTTTGGAAAAGTTGTAAAAAATTATAAAGTGAGTATAAGGTGATCCTATCGAGGTTATCTATATTTTTATATAAAAGAAAGCCAGAAACTTCAAATTCGATGGGAAATATTTATCATTTGAGAGCACACTCCTTGGCATTCATTTTTTCAAGATTATCTCTTTCAAATGTGGTCCGCATCTACGCCTCAGATGGTCCATCCGTTGGGTACAATTTTCGATGACTCGTTCCAGCATTTCGGTAACTGGCAAAAACACATGTGATGTTTTACGCCAAAGCCTGAATCAGAACGGGATCGTCTACATAGATTTTAGRTTTTTCATATGCCTACAGAAAAAATTTTAACGGCATCAGTTTTGRAGCAACGTGGACCGATTACTCCACCGGCTCACAAACCAAACCAAATCGTTATCTTTTCTTCCWTATGCGTTTCATTGTTTACATACCCACCGAGCCTGAAATGGACCTCATCGCTGAACAAAACTTGGCTTGAACACGTCGGTATTTTGTACCCTTTCAGTTTAACAGTTCAACGTAAAATGCGCTAAGGCGTTCCATCCGTCAGTATCCATCCGAGGTACTCCGAATGACGCCAAATCGACGCTCCAGGGCAACAAGGCTAGAAGGTCATTGGCAGAAAAGCATATACAAAACAAGTAGAAAATTCAAAGCGATTGGATAATTTGACTTTTCAATTTTTAAGGTATATACTAAATACCTAAAATACCTACTAAATAAAAAAAAATATATATTTTTTCCCACYATGAATGCCTCTTAAAATGTAAACCAAATTACCTATTTCTCAAAACTATCATTTTCCGCAAAGTTACTTTTCTATGAGAGTAGATATTTTTGAAGTCTGTAAAATTGAGCGACGATATAATTGTAAGAAGATAAGAATCGTAAGCAGTGGCGTTAATTTAATTGTTGCCCAGATAAATGCGAAAATTTCAGAGATAAAAACGTTTAAATAAAATAAAAAAAAAGTTAGTCAAAATGAGGTCAACAGTCAAGTAGGTAGTARGCGTAAAATTTAAATAAATGCTTGCACTTGTCAAGAATTTTCAAAATTGTTAATTTTAARTTATTATTGAACRAATTCAATATTTATTTAAAAGAAATKAAATGATTTTTATACGCCTGCTTGCGACTGCTCCGTTTGCTTGTTCACTAATGAATGCCTCTCACTGGATAAAACTGTCGGTGACGCACTCATTTTAAGTATGAATTCGTGACCCATTAATCCAAYCGATTACACTAGTAATTTTAGAATGCTATAACCGCAATTTGAAATAGGAAATCTCTACTTCCGAACACGTCGAAATTTCGGTGTTGTAGTCAAGGGGTGTGGGAGTCAAATCAAGAACATTCAGTAAAATGACGAAAATAGCTGTACGTGATGGAAAAATTTTGAACTCAAATTCGTAATCAGAACACTTCAAATACCCCACAGACCGCTTAGCACATCAGTGGCAAACTTTCCTTTCAGCTTTGTTTAGTAATGTTATTTGATTATTCAGAATACTTTGATTCGTAATTAAGAAATTAAACGCAAAACAAGATCACGCGCAGCCAGTTTGTTTTATAAAAAAAAAAAAATGTGTTCAGCCTGTTCTAAAATAAAAAAAATTTTTCCTAAACAGGTATCTGCAATAAATGCGCAGTTGTATTCCTTCTGACAGTGTTCGTGTGATTCCCGTTGAATATTTAACACATTTCAGCAATGCAGGCCGAATTTTTTTAAGTTTTATGTCGCGTATTCAGTTTGTAATTAAACCAAAACCACGTTCTCGACTTAAATGAGTTCATAGATTCAGCTAAAGAACGTATACAGCGGGAGAGGGAGTGGTGCAGGTTAAAATCTGAACAATGTTGGAACTTTCAAGCACTTCGAAATTAAACAAAATTTTGTATGGAACTTATTGAGTATTTATTTCGAGCTCACAAGTTCTCAAGGCTGTATCTCCRAAACTAATACTCGGAAAATTKAGGACAATATTGTAGAATTTAATAAGACAATAAAAYATTTTAAGCCCGTAAACCCATGTAACTCCTAATTTAAAGGAAAAATATCTTTTATAAAGTTCAGTTTGCATGACAGCTATAAGCTATAGTGAACCGATCATTTTATAATATTTTGSGCGAATATTGTAGCGTTTCCTTAGACAATTATCCATATAAAATTTCGTGAAGATTTCAGGTCAAATAAAAAATTATGCATAGAATTTGACTTTGATTGTTCAGTTTGTATGACAGAAATTTTTTTTAGTAGTCCGATATCGGATATGAGCAATTTTTTTGATAGAGAAGTGCGTGTGCCAAATTTCAGATCAACATCTCATCGGCATATTTTCACTAAGTGCTTTCTAATGAAATTTGCTTACAATTGGAAACAAAATTGTTTATTAAAAATTTGAATTTACGTATTTACCAGAATCAAGTTACAAGCTTTTTATCTTTTCTATTTACGCATTACAAGTTTCCCCTTTTTGCATAAACAAATTTACTTTCTATGAAATATTAATTTTATTCAAAGATAATTAAGAAGTAAATAAATTCGCTCATAACAATTGCCACTCATTTTGAATATGCATAACTGCGCTATTTTTAAAAGCCAGATATGAGTATGAGTTGACCTTGAATGAAGGTCCCATTGACAACCAAATTTAAATATGGTAGCGCTATGTGTTGACAATTAAGCATGCATACACACTTACTTAAATATATGTATGTACATATGTATATGTACTCACATACAACCCATTTTGCCGGCAACATTTAGCCGCCTGCTCACGTGCCGCCACGGAAACGCTAAAACGAAACGACTTAACTGTAAATGTGTGAACATGTTACTAATAATTTCTTTATAGACCTGACTCCATTATTTTGGGTAATCATTTTTGACTTTTTGGAGTCATGCCACTATTCATGTAAATGAGCGATATGCTTCTTTGCACAATGATCATCCAGTTTTTCGTTCGAGTGAACAGAGTAATTTTGGCTTTTTAAAAGTTTTATAATTTTTGAGCAAAATTATACGTTTTTTAAAGTTGCCTYTTTGTTAAACTTCATTTTTAACAATCGGAGATCATTGTATACCACATGGGCTAGTAAAACAGTTTTTTTTTTTAAATAATGGATGACTAAATAACTGCAAAATTGGAGGAAGTTTTTTAATAAGCTGGGAATTAGAAAATAACTCTTAATGTTTTTTTAGTTTACAGTCATTTTGCGACTGTCATGATAGAGACTGTTTCCTGTTAATTTTGAGTTGCTTCCGAGAGTTGAAGACAGAAAAAAAGAAAGAGGCCGAAATACGTGACTACGAAGAGCTTAAAAGGTTAGCCGATAAGGGTAATGTTCGAATATTCTATTAAAAGATGCAGCGACTAACAGAAGGTTATACGACCGGAGCATACTCTTGTAGAACCTCCAGAGATAAGCTAGTGATTGATGCCCAGAGCACACTAAAATTATGGAGGGAACACTTTCCACCCTGCTGAATGGCAGTAAAAGCTAACGCCAGGAGATGGTGAAACCGATTTCTCAATCGATGACGATGGAGCGGACGTTCAATTGTCCGCCCAAGATGAAGTTCGAATAGCAATTACGCGTTTAAAGAACAACAAAGTGGCGTGTGCCGATGGATTGCTGGCCGAGCTATCCAAACACGGCGGGTATCGAGGGTATTGTGTGAAAAATTCGTCGACTTCAAAACTGCTTTTGACAKCACGAAAAGGAGGTACTTTTATGCCGCGATGTCTCAATTTGGTATCCCTGCAAAACTAATACGGCTGTGTAAGTTGAGGTAGAGCAATATCAAAAGTTCCGTCAGAATCGGGAAGGACCAAGGACCTGTTCGAGCTGTTCGATACCAAACGAGGTTTCAGACAGGGCGACTCCCTATCTGGCAACTTCTTCAATCTACTGCTGTAGAAAATTATTCTAGCTGCAAAGCTTAATTCAGCACACAATCTTCTATAACAGTGTATAGCCGCAGGCGTACGCCGATGATATTTATATCATTGGCCTCAACACCCCCGCCGTTAGTTCGGCTTTCGCCAGACTGGATGAACGTCCGAATGGACGAAAACACTCTAGCTCTGGAAGTACTAGAATTCGAAATCGGAACACCTCAAAGACCACTGAGACCTCTCAGCACATCATTAACAAATTTTTCTTCAAACTTGTTGAGTAGAGTTGTTTCTAAATATTTACATCCTACAAATCCGAAAACATCTTATGCAATCATTTTCTTAAAACAAATCTCAGCGATTACAAATTTTCTGAAGCGGTCACATTAGGTGTACGTTGTAAGTATTTCAAAGAAGTGCCTTTTTAACTTATGTGCTTTTGTATTAAACGCTTTCGTATTAATAGTTGAAATGCATAGTGGTTAACCCTCGAAAATTTTAAATTAATTCAGGGTTCCAATTATTTCGTATTACAAACGCAATTACGTATTACAATAACAAATAATTACGATCTATTTTTACTGACTTACTTTGAACAAAAAGGGGATCACCCTGTCGGAACTATTAGTTAGATAATTTTAGAAGTGGCATGTACATGTACATATGTACATGTATGTATGTATGTATGTACATATGTATTCTGGAAATAATAATATCAGTACTATATAAGAGCTCTAAATCTTTTACGGATCAATTCAAGTCCGAGTAACATCATGGTTACATATTTGGGGATACTAAGATTGACTTTTGTTCTATATTAAGCCAGTGATTCTAATATTTTCAATTTATCATTTAATTTCTTCAACTAATTTAGACGCCGCTTTTTGGCATGAAATCGGTATGAAACAGCTTCGAAAAGCTATGAACGTTGCCAAAAAATCAGGTGAATCGGCGCGGAAAGCCAAAAATATAATTGTGTTCGTTGGCGATGGCATGGGACTAACAACAATAACTGCTGGACGCATTTTCAAAGGACAATATTTGAAGCACGGCTTAGGTGAAGAGGAAATGTTGGCCTTCGATGAGTTTCCTTACACCGGTTTGGCTAAGGTTAGTTTAACCAAATAAATCTAACCTCAATGCTTGCAAATATTATGCTTTTCAGACCTACAATGTGGACAAACAAGTACCGGATTCTGCTGGCACTGCAACAGCGATGTTTTGTGGTATCAAAACGGACTATGGCGCCATTGGTATGGATATGCGACGTTCTAAGGTGGATGCCAACCAGGGTCGATTGAAGTCTATAATGGACTGGGCACAAACGGAGGGCAAACGTACTGGCATCGTAACTACAACACGCATAACACACGCCACACCGGCATCTACGTACGCACGCATCTACCATCGTGACTGGGAGTGCGACACTAAGGTGCCCGCCGAATCCGTTGGAAAGCATGTCGATATAGCGCGGCAATTGGTGGAAAATGCGCCWGGTAATAAGTTTAATGTGATAATGGGTGGTGGTCTTTCGCCAATGGGTGCTTTACGCGCAAATGAGCCGAACACTGTGCGCTTCCAAGGCGATACCGAAGAAGTGTGTACACGTGGTGATGGTCGCAACCTTGTTGAGGACTGGCTGAAACTTGGCAAAAATGAATCACGCGTATTTGTGCAGTCACAAGCGGAGTTAAGTAAGATAAACTTTGAGAAAACGGATCACTTGTTGGGTCTCTTCCGGAACAACCACATCACTTACTCCATTGCACGGCAAGAAGGTGAACCCTCTCTAAAGGAAATGACAGAGGCGGCCATACGCGTGTTACAGCGTGCAGATAATCCTAAGGTATAGAAAATAATCTTCATTTAGTAGACATTTTTTATTTTGCTATTAATCTTATGGTAGGGCTTTATGCTGATGGTGGAAGGTGGGCGAATCGATCAAGCGCATCATCAGAACTACGCACGCGCAGCTATGCGTGAGGTRCTAGAGTTCGATATGGCGGTCCAAGCAGCGTTGGATCTCACCGACGATGAGGAAACTTTAATTCTAGTAACTGCTGACCATTCACACTCGGTCACACTGAATGGCTACCCAAAGCGTGGAGCTGACATTCTCGGTTTTGCCAACAAGACCACCGAACGTGTAGTATACGAGACAATATCTTATGCCAATGGTCCAGGATATTACGATCATTTAGCGAACGATAGCGTTGGTGCATTAGGCGCTGAAGTTTGGCTGCCACTTGAGAAATTCACAGCTCTGCAACGCATGTCGCCCACATATCGTCATCGTGCCACTTTGCCGTTGGATGACGAGACCCATGGTGGTGAGGATGTTATAGTGTTTGCAAATGGACCCGGAGCTAATATGATTCGTGGCGTTTTCGAGCAGAATTATCTAGCATACGTCATGAGTTATGCCGGTTGCATGGGCCCTGCTAAAGATGTGGACGATAGCTGTAGAACGGTACTGAAACATAGCACAAGTGGCTCGAGCCAAGTGGCCCAACATAGTTTCCTACTTTTGTTTACATTATTTTTGTTGAGATCATTTTATTCCTAAAGCAAATTAAATAAATAAAGTTGTTATTAGTGATTTACTGTTAATGATTTACTGTTATTCTGAAATATACATCCACCCATACACATCCCCATCGACAAATTGGACTAACCTTGTTATATTCTTTTCCAGATATCATAAGTCTAATTTAAGGTAATCGTTTTTAGGTGAAAAATACATAAATAAAAGTTGATAATATTAGAGTGTAATAAGTGTTTTTTTTACTTTTGGATTTTAAATTCTCCGACAAGTGAGAAGCTTCTGTGTGAGGGCGTGTATAAAACTTTAAACCGATATCTCAAATATTGAGGGACTAGTTCACGTAAGTGCAGACTGTTTAAAAATCTGAATAACCGGATGTATGGGTGATATGTGATTTTGCTGATTCCGACAAATGATCAATAGAAAATCAATGTGCATTTATGTATGTATTAAATTTCGTCCGGATATTTGTAAAACGGACGAATCCTTCATCTTAAAAATTGCTAGCTCAAAACTGGTTTTAGACACATTATTTTCTTAAGCAAAGTTGCTGTGAATTATCCGTAGGACATTTCCMGCATACGCGATTTTATCGTTTTTTTCACTCCCTGTAGTTCAACTCGCTCTACTAAATCGACATAGGTGTCATTCTAATCATTTATATACACATTTTACAGGGTCTCTGAAGATTCTCTTTGGTTACTAAAAGCTTCGTCGCAAATACAATACACATCCCTGAGGGTATAATTATTTAACACATTTACAAAAGCTGTTTATGTCTTCAAATTATAATTTACTTTCGGACTTCATAAGCGATACATTATGTTCAGCAGAAGTTTAACACTCATTTACTTTATACCTTTAAACTTATTTTACTGAAAATTAAATTTCAAAAACCGGGTAGCACAGTGATTTCGTTACAGCACATTTTTCGTTTAACCACTAAATCAAGTATAAGGCGGCGCATATTTAAGCTGCTTTAGCAATTGGTTTTGCATCCTCAGCATCAAGTTTCTTGATACGATTTAAGTTAATGCATTCTGTGAAAGCTGCAACTTCTTCGGAACACTTTAAGGTTTGACCAGGATTTGCGCGATAGCAAGCGATGACTTGTGCCTTGAGATCCTGACATGGTGGTAACTGGTGTACGGGCGAAGCTGTAGCAAAGCGCTGACGAACATCCTCAAGTGCTGAGGAGTATTCTTTTTCCATGATTGTGTTCGTTTTCTTGAGTGTCTGTTCCAGCTCATGCAAACGCTGACGCCACATCGCATCATTTTGCGTAAGTTCGGCCTCTTTTTGACGCACCATGTCAGCTGCTGTGATCGTTGTGCCGCTTGGAGCAACGTAAACTGTCTGAGTTGCAGGTGCTTGGTAAACAACGGTTGGTGGCACTATAGCTGGTGGTGTTGCCGGCTTAACGGGAATTGGGCGAACATCTTTGACTGGAGGTGCTGGTGCCGATTCTGCCGCAGCACTTTCTTTTGCTAAAAATGAAATTAATATTACAAAAAAAGTCCAGTATTAATTTACATAAAATAGCAACAAAAATCGAATTGATAGTGTCACTGTTGCATAACAAATGCCAATAAGATTTGAGCAGATAACTTATGAATTATTGGTGCTTTTAGGGCTAACTTGCTCACTTTTCGTTAGGAAAACAATTTGTATCGCATATACCTTGCTTGTTTATGCCTTTCTTTAAACGTTGCACAACCTCATCGGATATGTCGATAACTCCAGGGTTTGGGTTGTCCATCGACACAGAGCGTGGTTCAGTYGAGTGTGCCGCTCCCATTTCAGTAATTTCTTTGACAGTGACACTAAGAGTTCTATAATAATATATTGTATAGATCAGTTACTTCTATTGCTCTAGGATATCTATAAGTATAAATGACTTCAACATACAGTTCCAAAATTCGCTACCACAAATAAAAAACTCAAAACCTCAACGAACACACGCACGGCGGAACGTCATAATCAGCTGTGCTTACTCTCCATGCCATATTATTTCAATTGTATTAATCATATTATTTGTTCTATCATTTTGAAAAATATAATTTTTTTATAACTGAAAATAAAAATTTGTTCCAAGATTTAATTACCGCACATCTAGAGGTTAAATTGCTTTAAACGATATTATATTTACTATTTAATTTATTAATTTAGTACCTAWGAATGCAAGCATATGAGTTAATTAAGAACAAATCGACAATTAAAACCAAAACTTGTGTGCATGTGTCATTGTTCATCGCTTTACTTTGCACAGTTGTACATAGTGCATGCGTTAGCTTCCAATTGAATTCTTTTATTCACTTGGTGTTTCGGTCGGCGTGAATTGGTTCAACAAGGGATTTCAAAACAACTGGTTTAGAACTACGGCAACTCTAGGGAACAACTGGTTCTAAATTATTTGGCATGCAAACACACTTCTCTGTTCCATTTCACCATATTCTTCGTTTTTATGGCACTAATTGTTATGTAGTTACCGCGTATTTATATTCAATTTGTTTTTTAAATCGAATTTCTCCAATAATTCATCTTCCAATATATGTATTATGATCTTTATATAATTAAATTTCGCGCAAAAATTTATGAGAATGGATGGAACTCCTAGATTGAAAAAGAGAGGAGCGCTAACTTTGGGACGACATCACAAAAGAGATGGTATGTTGATATTAAATAGAACAATAGTTACAGAAAAAAGAATCTTAAACTACGTATGTATGTATATGTATGTTTTATTTTTTTCTATCAGCGTCTCCAAATATTTTACAAGGAAAAATGCGTTCATCCTCAATTAAGAGCATCGATAATAACAATGATGACAATGACGAATACAAACTTTTAAGAACACCAAAAACGCCGTCAATTAGTTCATTAAGTTCTGATGGAGGCATCGAATGTACACCGCCACACAAAAAATTCAATTTGGATGACAGTGTGGAATATTCACCCAAATGCTTCGATAATAGTTTTTCGCCCGGCAGTTTGCTATCACAAACACTTTCTTCAAATAGTCCTGAAGTTGGTTGGAAATGGGGCCGTCGTTCCACCGATGATCCAGCAGAAACTGCCACACCAGATTCTGCTTATGTCGCGGATAGCAGTTTTACTTCAGCCGGGTCTAGTAGCAAAGATGTAATTAGCAGATTAGGACGATTTCGTAGCGATTCCAATGCTCAACGGCTCGCTTATGAAATGCGAAAGGAAGAACAGCGCCGAAAACTTGAAATACAATTACGACGAGCCGAAAAGCTACGTGCAGATGAATTATTAAAACAGCGTTGTGCTAAGCTGCAGGAACAACTACGAGAAGCGGAGAAACGACGCCTACAGGAAAGGGAAAAGAAGTTAGAAATACAGGAGCAACTTCAAAGAGAAGCAGAAAGCAAGAAACTTTTGGAAGCAACGGCAGAATCGGAATCCATAGCAGAATTAGCGGAAATAAATGAYATTTTTGCAAATGCGAATGATACTTTAGATGACTTCTTTAATGATTCAGATTCTGATGATTTGCTACTTGAAGCCACGCAACAGGTGGAATCAAAAATAATAGAGCAAACACAGAAGCCAGAAATTAAAACAACGATAACTTCCACAACAACAACATCAGTTGCAAATGATTCAGTACAAACACATAATAAGGTATTAAACCGAGAGAAAACGTCAACAATTCCAAATCGTGAAGAAAAGCGTTCGTCTCTTTATATGAAGTTTTTGGAGGATGACACGCCAGATGATTGGCTCTTTTCACTTGATGATGAAATTTTACAAGCTACACAACAAACAAAGCCACGTACCTCGCTCCAACGACACAATTCCATGCCGACTAATTCTACTAATACTTCGATGACTTCAACTACTGGCGGTGCTGGAGCATCTAAAAGAAACTCAACTATTTCCTCGTCTGCGTTACAAACTTCTTCGAGGACGGCGAGTAGTAAAGTAGTTTCTTCGCCAAAAATCAAACGTCATTCGAGTTCAACAGCCCTGCGGCCCTCTACAAGTGGTGCCTCCGGTTGTAAGTAAATTATCTTACTTAAAATTCTCTTACTTTTGTATTCATATTAAACATAGACGTATTTTGTAATAAATCCTATAAGACTTAACAACTTTACATAAAAAACGAAGTAAGTAAGCTATTTTAGGAACTCAAAATATCCCAAATAACTTAGCACAGAGAACGCCTCTTTGTCGATGCTCCCAATAGTGTAAACAGTAAATTAAATTTTTTTGTTTTGTTTTTATCATCATAGATCGTGGTCGCCAGCCCTATAACAAGAAGTAAATTGGCCACAAATATAACCGGAGCGCCGCCAATTGCAATGGTTTTATGTATCGGGCAAAAACCAACAATCTAGCAATTAATGAAAGAAATATGAATTATTATTTCTTGAATTACGGATATACATATGTAATGTTTATGAAAAGTCCGAAATCTAATTATTTAGCATTCATTTTCTATGCCTTCATTGCACTTCTAAGTGAAAATAATCATCTAGCGCTAGAATTATATAACACAAGCAAATGTACATATGTATGCCATGGTGATTTTGTGTAAATGTGATACAAAACAATAATGCTTATGATTCATCAGTATGTATACGGAATAAATATAATTAATGATTGCATAAGCAAATAATTAAGTTACGATAAACATCTAGATGAAAGTTATGTTCTGTGTGAACTAGTGATAGTAGGGTTCTGTTGAAAAATTTTCTGATAGTGTTAATTAATTGAAAGAGTTTGTGAGAAAAATAAATAACAATTTGTTAAGCCATAGTAATAATCAACTAAGTATTATAGTATTTTATTTTGTTTTATATATAATAATAACAAATACTCTATTAATTAGAGTTTCCAACTGAAATCCGTTGGTCACATGCAAAAATTTAGTTGCTTAGTTKTTTACTTTATAGTTAATATGTAAGAAATCCTTGATAATGCCAACATTTGACATTTCTGAGCTGATTGTCATTGCATGTACGCATAAAGTTACCTACAGAAGCTTTTATTTTCGGTTTGTTCCTCATATTTAAGAGCTTCCTCACAACAGTATATACCATCATCATATATATATGAAATATGCATATAATTGAGCATGTGAACAAAAAATTTATATTTTTTTATACGTAATTATAAAACTATCCAACAAAATACCAATTAATGAAAGCGAAGTTTCAGGCTTTAAATYACTATTTTTAATTTCTCAAAATAATTAAAA